TTCGTTCCAGCGATGGCCAAACTCCTCTCAAAGCCCTCTTCCGTTCTAGGGTTTTTTTGAGCTGATACCACAAGATCTCATCAAAATCTTTGACGAAAATGAACTAGAGGTAAGGTTTGGCCTGCTTTGACCACAGCACGTTTCCTGCTCTTGTTTTATGGGGTAAACATTTGCCTGAGAGAGATTCTTCTTTGCTTTTCCCCTTTTTTTTTTTTTTTTTTTGTAAGCCCAGGGGCACACTACCCGGCCTTGGAGATGTTGACGTGAACGACTGGAGGGAACACACAAAGTATAAGAATGGCTACAGTGCTAATCATATCGTTATCCAGTGGTTTTGGAAGGTAAGTGATTGAATCCTCAAGCAGAAATCTTTTTAGGGCTGAACTGCACGAATCCACATGCTTCCTGTTTCTCTCTCTGTAAGGGGCTTGGGGGGGCCCGGTGGAATTCATCGGTGGGTTGCCAAGCGCCCTCTTCGCTGGGCTGCCCAAAAGGGGGCTGGGGCTACACTTAAACCCTGGCACGGCTCAACCACCTCTGGCGGCCTCCTGAATTAGGAAGGCAGGCCATTTTTATTTTATATTTATTTATTTATTTATTCAGTTTGTATCTCACTCCCATTAGTGTCACAGCACTACTCTGGGCAGGTTACAACACGTATAATAAAAAAGAAAAAAAATAGAGACATTTTTCTTTGAATACAATATTAATTTGAGGTCTTAGTTTGAAATATTAAAAATAATAATGCTGGTGGATGGAACAGAATAAACACACACACACACACACATATACAGCTGGTGGACGGAACAGAATAAACACACACACACACAAACCCCTGTTGGGGGATAGCTGACCATTAAGTGGACCTTACGGTTATGGCTGTAACTCTGTCTAGGCCGTGCTCACGATGGACTCTGAAAAACGCATCCGGCTCCTCCAGTTTGTGACCGGCACGTCCCGGGTTCCTATGAATGGATTTGCTGAATTATATGGTAAGGTCTTTGTGCCCCGTCCCATTTGTTTGGCATCTGCATAAGGTTTCTAGGGCAGAGGGTTTTAGAGCGACCCCCTTGAAGGTAGGGGTACCAGAGGGAAGCCGACGAGGTGTCAACCTTTTAATAGTTTTTGTGGCACGAGGGGGCCGGACGGGCACGTTTTTGTCACCTGGCGTCTCTGTAAGGTGAAGAGACACCCTGGGCAAGATCCAGCACTGCGCGCCCCCTCCCTCTGCAGAATTAGGAGGGGGGGCGTCCCACACGCTTGTTTTGGTTCACCTTCCTTTGCGTTTTTGTGAGTCATGTGAGAGCCTCAGAGAGCAGCCAGCGTTCCTGTTGGCTTTCCCGCCCTTCCCTTGCCACTTGGGGGTGCCACGGCTTTGTGGGATCACTCAGCGGCCTCTGGCCCAGAGCTGCTTAGAGAGCAGGGGTTCCTCTTTCTGGAGGGGAACAGCAGCAGCAGCAACACATCCGAATCCTCCCGCTTTGGGCGGCTGGCGGAACGTCTCCTTGCCGGGTGCTTGATGCTCCCTTGTGTGAGCATCCAGGCTTCCTGGGGTCAGGATGCTGAGTCTCCCCCCCCCGGGAAGAGGGGGAGGGAGATGGCGAAGGGAGGCCAGGCCCGGCCAGCCCTTCCTGACGGGCCCCTTGGCAGCCCCCCCCCCTCGGCCCACTCTCGACTCCCATCCTGCTCTGGGTCCCGGACGGGCTTCCCTTTTCCGTGGCGTCCAGCCGGCAGAGGTCCTCTTCGTGGAGGAGAGTGGCCGCCTGGACTGGCTGGCCTCCAGAGCAGGTTGAGGAGACGAAAGAGGGTGACGGCCTCTTTTCCTCACAGGTTCCAATGGGCCGCAGTTGTTCACGATCGAGCAGTGGGGGACCCCCGAGAAGCTGCCCAGAGCTCACACTTGGTAAATATGAAGTGGGCATGAAATGGGTGGCAAGGGGGTAGCTCATGCCGGTCTCTCCTGGTGCATAATTGGGCCTTTATTCTTGCCTCTCCCACCCCCACCCCCCATCCCTCCCCTCAGTTTCAACCGCCTGGATTTGCCTTCCTATGAATCCTTTGAAGACTTGTGGGAGAAACTGCACATAGCAATTGAAAACACTCAGGGTTTTGATGGCGTAGACTGAACCCTGTGAGGGAGAGAGCGAGAGAGCGTGGGGCCGGGCTTCTTTTCTGCGCTGCAAATGGAATGTTTACAAAGAAAACACATTTATTCCAGGGAAATCTATTGCTGTGCTGATTTGGCAATTGACTCTTTAGGGTATCATATTTTTTTAAAAGCAAAGTATTAATTGCACCCATGCTTGATTGCATTTTTCATTTCAAACTCTGGCCTGTTGCATTTAGCAGGTGCAAAATGAACTTTGAGGAGGCCAATGGCCACCCTTGCCTTACCTTACCTTACCTCTCAGAATGTCTGCCTTCCTGGCGCTCTGAAACTACTGAAAACAGAAACTGTGAACAAGCGGGCTTGATCTGTCCCTCTGTCTGTCCGTCCATCCGTCTGCCTGTGTGTGCGTCCTTCCTTCCAAAACGGCAAAAGAGCGCCCGACTCCTGACCTCGGGCTGTGAGGCTTTTCTTCCCGCTTTCCCAAGCACCTTACTTATAGATATTTCAGTAAAAACCTCACGAGGCTTTCATTGGGAGTTTCCAGCCCCTTCGGTGGGGGCCTCGGCGCAAGGGGGTCGCAAGCTGCTGGCCGTGCTGAACCCCGGCCGTCCCTTTCAGGTCACTCTCAGCAGAACAGAGAGCCAGCCGCTCAAGAGGGCTTCCCAGTGGCTCGTACTTCGTGATTTTTTAAAAAATTAAAATAAAATATTGACACTTATATTTCTAATTTTTTTAACTTTTGAGGTTAAAAGTAGCATGAACTTGAGATTATTTTAAAACTTGTTTGAATTTGTATACTAGTGTATTTTGGATAGATCCTATTTTGGTAAATTGTCTCACGGACAATATTTTCAGCTTTGTGTCCTCAAAATCAAAACCGTCTTTTTGTTTTGTTTTGTTTAATGCCACAGTGTTACATTGTAGCAAAAGGCCTTTTCATATCCATTCTTGCAGTATTGCACCACAAAAATATGGGCATGTTTACGTGGTTTTATGGGCCAAATTCTGCAATCCAATGTGTGCAAATGTAAGTCACACTTTGCAGAATGCGTACAGGGCAGGGTTTGGCCCTGAAATTTGTTTACACGTTAGTCGACTTGCCTTCCGCCTCCTTCTACCCTAACTGCATTTTTATATTTTGTCAGTGTTTAGTCTAGGAACCAAATAAAATACAGTATAACCAAAGTTACAGGAAATAACGTGCCATTTATTGAGAGAGAACCGTTTGCCGTTCAGCTTGAAGCTTCTTGTAACCCTTGCAAAATAGAAATTTTGATATTTTCACTACGGAAGGATTGGGACTGGGACGTTGGTTGGTGCTGACGGATCCTCTCCAGGCCCGAGGAGTGGGACTGTTCACGGCAGTGGCCGGCGTGCTTTTCTGACCGCTGGGAGTAGCTGCCACCCCGGGGGGGGCACCGTCCAGGCCCTGCCGGGTGCTTTTCATGTCCCCTGGAGAAGCGTATGTGCTCTGTCGCAGTTGGCCGTTCAGAAGGCCCACAGCTGGCCTGGCCAGTGAGTCTTCAGGCAAATTTTAAAATCTTTTGGGGCTGAGTCTCCTGCAGAGGATTTCAGGAAATAAAGACAACGGTTCAGTCTAGGTGGTAATTCTTTTCATAAAACTTGGAGTGATCTGTCCATACAAACTGGAATGTAACTGTCAGGAGTACTTCAGTCTCTAACAAATGGAGGATCTGGAACAGTGAATAAAATGCATTCTAAACATTTGGCTTTATTTCTATTTGACTCCAGTCAGTTGATAGATCCAGGAACTGTCTAAAGCCTAATTCTCTGAAAATAACTGGGCTTGTCCGTTTCTGCTGTGCTGCTTCTCGTCCTCCTGAGAACCTCCATAGCTCAGAAACGCTCTTCCTGTTCTGTATTCTCCCCCTCTTTTGGTACCACTCACCCCCACACCCGAAATACAGGAAATGCATGCTTGCAATATGGGGGTCTCTTAAACTATTATCTCCTTCCCTGCCCCACTTCGTGGCAACTCTAGAAAAGGTATCCTGTGCTTCCACTCCTTTGGGTTTGCCTGGCCTCCGCAACAAGTCTAAAACCGTGTGACTTTGAACCATGAAGCAAAGTGGATTATGACCACATTAGGTCACAGTCTCAGGCGTGGGAAATCTCCGTCGCGAATCGCTGGACTTCAAGCATATTGTCTGGTGTCATTCAGGACTCCAACTGAACCTGCAGCAGGGGCCAACAACAGCAAAGAAGAGGGGCTGAAAGGCAGAGTATGCCTCTGGACCTGAGGTTCCCAATCAGGTGGCCGTGGCCACGCTCCGTCCTCCCTTGGCGCGTGTGTGCCTTGGTTACAGAGTCAGTCGCAGGATGGTCTCGAGAGGCAGGCTTCCCCCTCTGCCAAACGCAGCCCCCGAAAGTGCCGGGTGAGGCTTTTAGGAAGAGTTGCGTAAGCTCTCCATATTCCCGGAATCCACTGGTTGAAGAGGGTTTGCTTGCCTCTGGGGTGAGACGGAAGCATTGGAATTGCCACAGGGCTGGTTGGCCACAGGCGGAGGGAAGAGGCAGAAGATTCCAAGACTGGGGTCTCCTCTTGTAGATGAAGGGCTCCCTAAAGGCGTTGGACTTAACGTTGGCATGAGAGGTTCTCCTGAGCTCCCCAAGAGAGGCGCGTGGCTCCCACTTCAACCACAGGTGCAGCAGAATCACACCTCAAAACCCCCAAATTATGCCGCAGAAATGGAGGAAGACTGGGCAGACTGGGAGAGGCCAGGGGCCTCCCTTGAACCCTGGCTGTCAAGAAGGGAAAAGAAGACAAGCGTGCAGGGCACAGACGTCCTTCGTTCATTTGTTCCAGGCGCCCGTGGGTGGCTCTCTCTAAACCAGGTAGAGCCTGGGCCCCTGAAGGCTGCCTAACCTCCTTTTCCCTCCCGTTCTGACGACTCGTAGGGGAAGAAGGGGGAAGTTTTCCTGTGAAAAGTGGAGCTGAAGATGCATTCCTGAGCTGGTCAATTTGACCAGTGTGTAGGATCCAGAAAAGCTTCTGCTCGCCTCCCCTTGTCTAGAATGGCGCTCTGATCTGAGTGGCAAAGTGCTTCCCTGCAGCGTTACAGAGACGGATGGGCTGCAGTCCGGTCTGGAGGGCGCACAGACCTCCGCCAGAGGGCAGAGCAGAATAGCTGGAGGCAGTGGAACAGCTGGAGACAAGCGACGGCGGCCCTTCCTGCCGAGGAGGTGAGCGTTTCCCATCAGAGGACGAGCCCCTGCATTTATTTGGCCGCCTCTACCAGGCGCTCGGGCGGCCAGCCGGGGAGAGCCATACCTAGAACCTGCTTGGAAAGGATTCTGCAGTTACAGTAGCCCATGGCAGGCTCTGAACAGGGAGGGGGGGCATGCAGGTTTGTCAGGGAACCTCCTCGCTCCCACCCACCAACAGGCACAACCCACCATTTATTCCTGCCGCCTGCCTCCTGTTCTTGAGCCACCCGTCCATCAGAAGGCCTGTTCCCTTATCCTGCAGCAGCGGCCAAGTGTCCCTCGGAGACTTTTATCAAAACCCAGAAGGCTTACGTGGCAATTCAAGCCATCGTTTTCCTGCCCTACGTAGGCTGTGGCTGCCCCCACCTCCTGCCCTGGAGTCTTTTGACGATGGAGACCATTGGCAACCGATCATCAGCCAGTGGTCCTCCACCTGCCTGTGTGGCCCCTTTGGGACCAAGCCCCCTATGAGGCTGGCAGAGTGAGTCCCTCCCTCCCTCCCTCCTGGCCTTGTGGGGCTGCATCTCCCAGCATTCCTCAGGGCTGGCTGGGAACGCTGGGGGTTGCAGTCCATCTGCAACTGGGCGACCCGCCCCCCACCCCTTTGCCCCGGCCTGCATCGGGGGTGTGTGTGTGTGTCTCACCAGTTACAGGAAGAGTAATGAATGGCCTTCAGCAATTAGGCAAGAAACGAGAGATGTGCAACTTGACCCAGTTTTTTAAAAAAAGGTACAACATGTGCTGTTGCCTTATTATAAATTCATCATCATCCTTTTAATTTTTTGGTGAAAGAGCTGTGGAAAGGATCTGGAAGAGGTTTCTGTTTGATTCCAGTTTGGAATGAGCCAGGAGGATGTCAGGCTGCAGAACAGAAGTTTCCTGCCACGGAACAGAGCCACCCCGTCCACCTCTCGGGGCCGTGACCAGCTTGAGTTGAGGTAAGAGCCCGTTTCCTAACAGGGAAGTGGAAATCGATCTTGTTGATAAGACACTGGCATGTACAGTAGTGTAATAGCATCATCGTTCATGGACTGAAAAAAAAAACTTCCCTGTTTTTATTTCTTTGGCTTCATTTGGCATCTAGACCTTAAAGCTTTTTCAAAATACCTTTTCCTGTGTTATCTGGGACCTTTCAAAAATAGCTGAAATCAGGCCAGAGGGAGTTTGTGGAGGAGTGAAATGTTATCAGGGTGATATTAGGGTAGTGGGAGAGGCCTTAAAGGCTTCCGATCTGTTTATCTTCGCACTTCTCAGAGCAGAGCCGTGACGGGGGCTGGTAGGTAGGTACAGTAGGTAGGTAGGAAGGAAGGAAAGGGCCCTCTGAGAGAGAGAGAGAGCAGGGAGGGGAGGTCAAGAGAAGGGCCCAGCAGGCACTGGGCAGAGACGGCCAGAATCTCTCCAGGGATAAAACAGAGCAGCAAAGGAGGCCTCTGACATCCATCTTCCGAGGAGATGGAGGGGGGGAAAGGGGGGGGGTTTGGAGGAGTCACAGTCCTAATGCCTAGCAAGAGGCAGAGAAGCAAAGGATAAAAGGCGTTTGTGTATCTCTCCTTTGGCCTCTGCGCATTTCTTCTTCCCAGCTTTGAAACATGCGATGAAACTCTAGACAAGAGAGAAGAATCTTCCTTGCTTTTCTAATGGTCAGCCAGGGTTGAGAGGCTGTACCTGACCCTGGAGGGGAAAGGTAGGAGCACTGGGGGTGTGTGTGCATGGGTGTCCCCCACCCCACTCTGCTCTTTGAGGGTCCCTCTGCTCAGCAAAAAAAGAAAAAAGATGATGGTGTGGAGGGCTCTCGAGGCACTTTGACCCTCTTTGGGCAAAGGGCAAGCGGTCCAGGAATGGCACCGGATTTCCCCTCTGCCTGGCCTTTCCCCCGAGGCTTGGTGTTTTTAGGGGCCTCGGGTCCGGAGGTGTGCCATGGAAGGAGGGTGGGTGGGCACTAGACCCAGCTGCAGCCAGGCAAAGGCCTCAGGGGGCCAACTGGGCCAGGGGGGGGGGCTTTTCCCTCCTGAGGGCTGTGGAAGTTGGCTGCTTCCCCTCCGGGCCTTCTGTGGAGTCCGATCACTGCTCGGCGCCCTCAACCCAGCGACAGAACCGCCTCAGGGGTGCGCCCGTCAGAGCAGCGAGGGATTGCGAGGGGTGTGTGTGTGTGTCTTGCCGCAACGTAGAAGTGAACACACGTTTTGTCCTGGGTAAGCTTCTGCCCATGAAAAGGCATGGGTTTCTAAGGGGTCCCCCGAGAGGGCCAGACCTGGCTGCCTCCCAGGCCCCTTTCCTCAGGGGCCAGCAACCACTGCAGGGGGTTAGGGTAAAACCCTTGGGAAAGGGGGCCAGCTTGTCTCCCCCCACCCCAATTCTGGCTCTTTAAGCAGAAGGCACCAGGGAATAATGGCAGTTGCTCTGGTAAAACGGAGGATGGGGGAACGGCTCTGGCCCAATGCCCAGCCCTGACAGACCAAGAGATCTTGAGGGGGTCTTAAGGGTTGCACTTCATGCCTTGCATAGGTTCGCCCAGGTCCCTCCTTAGAAGGGCAGCTAATCAGAACCTGAGATACTGGGAGAGCCGTAAACAGGGTCTGCATCTCCCCCCCC